ACTTTTGATTGAGAGAATCCTCGGGTACGGGTTCGAGAAACTCCCATTCCTTTTACCCTACCATCAACCTCTCGAAAGAACATTCGGCTCGCCGCATATTTAGAGCACCTCCTGTGCCGCACAGACACTATGCAAACATCCATGCCTTCTCTGGGATACAAACCTCGGGCCTTCGGTACGGTAATGAGTATCACTAACTACTCTCCAATTTGGGTGGCTCCCGGTTTTTATAATTCTAAAGAAAGATTGGTTAATAGTTCACTAATTTATTACAAGTTTTAGAGAATTTAACTTCAATTTCTTTTACTTCTCAATTGCACAATCAGATGATAATTAGAATGAACAGAGTAAGATCAGCTTACATTTTATTTCACTGATAATTAAGTCCAAAAATTCTTGTTAAATTGGTTCCATGAATGGTTTTCAATTTTTAAAATTTTTCTAAGATCTCTTTAACAAAGCAAGTTGTCATCAGATGCAAGAGACATGAAATGTTACCGAAATGCTGTATTAAGCATTGTCAGTCTATAAGGTATTTCTCCCGCGTTCTTAACGTGCCTTCGTGGTGTAGTAGTCTGCATGCTGGGCAAGTATCCAGAGGTCCGTGGCTCGATTCCAGGCGAAGGCATTGTTTAATTTTCATTCTATCTGTTTAAAAATAACCTAATATCTCTACAGTGGCGCCCGAACTAAAAGGGTGTTGGATGATGATTCTCCACACCCAGGATTTGGCGATTGTGTTCCCTAAAAAAAGCCCAGTCGCCCTTTAAAAGGGGGAGTATATAAGGTATTTCTCACGCCTTCTTAGCGTGCCTTCCTGGTGTAGGGGCCTGCATGCTGGTCGCGTATCCAGGTGTTTCGATTCACGGCCAAGGAGTTGCTCATTTTTCACTTCTTGCTGTTTCAAAAATAACCTAAGTTCTCTACAAGTCTACTGCAGTAGAAAGTGTACATGTTATACGTATTGTAAGTTAAATTAAGATTTACACTCTGAATATTAGAAGTTCAAACAACAGCAATCAGCGTTAGTTTTCATAAATTTTCAGGGTCTAGTTTAAAAGTTTTACTGCGGAAGCTTCTTCTGCTGCAAGAATGAAACTGATAAAAGACTAGCTTGTACTCACGCGATACCAATGAAACTGAATATCACCGACCGTCGTTTTCACTCCTGCAACTGCAGAAGAATGATCTGTAGTAAAACTTTCAAAACTAATATTGCAAATTTATGCAATTTAACGCTGATTGCCGTTGGTTGAACTTCTAATAACGTTCAGAATTATTGGTTATATAGGCAAATCTTTGATGGTTTGAATCACAGCATCAAACGGGTAACTGAAAAAATTTCCATGTTAAGATGCAAGTTCTTATAAAACATGGTACTGCATTCTCATACTTACGCAAGAACTTAATTCAGATGCAAAATATTACACAGCCCTAATGAAATCACCTCGGTAATATTGAAAGCCTGATCATGAATGAAACAGACCATCAGCTGGATTTTCCATAAAGGTATGCTAGAAGTGTGCATTGATTACTATTTGAATATCATTTTAAAAGACAAGACACCAAAAATGTCTTTTTTATTCTACAAAAGCTCAGAGGAACCAAGACAGATACATGACAGTATGTGTCTTTTTTATAAAAGCACGTGGAGCAGGCAAAGAGTTGCCGTGAAGTATTCGGCTAAGGTCGTACCGGGTCAACTGCTTCTAAAATAGTGTAGGAGTTTGACTATTGTTTATGAATTTTGAAAGTTTCTGCCTTTCAATAATTTGTTACGAGGATCGGGGAATTGTTGAACGTTTTAGGATCTACCACATCTAAACGATCTGAGGCTTCTACTCAGATATGTAATGTCCACCTACGTAGGTCGTGTATTTTTACAGGCGGCTTTTAAGGCGTAGATAAAGTAGCTCCTTTGACCTTAACTCAATTTATACTCAACTAGCAGTTGCATGCCATTTTTAATGATGTATATTATTTATTGTCGTAAATTAGAAAATGCACTAAAGATAAATTAAAGAAAGAGGCATTATGCATTCCCACGAAAAGTGTTGATTTTAATAAAAAGTTTCTTTAAAAAAATTAAATAAATAAAAATAAAACGTAGAGAAATCTACGCACAAGAAAGGTGTGGGCGTTCTTCCTTACTCACTGAACAAAAAATTTAGAAGAATTTTAAATTAAAAAAAAAATCTGAAAGTTTTCAGATTTTATATTACGCCCAAAAGGGACTTTTTATAACGTTTTGTTGTTACATTTCATTTAGGAAATATCCGGTTCTTCGCAATGAGCACAACTTAAGAATTTCCGATACACAGTCTCACGCGCTGGAGGTAAAAATGTTTTTTTTTTTTTTTTTTTTTTTTTTTTATTTTTTTATTTATTTATTTATTTATTTATTTCGTAGAGTGTTGCCATTGCTTGCTTTGAAATCGTCGAGTTTGTCAATTAAAAAATCGTTAAAGTTTTACAAAATATGAAATAGTTAATAAAATAAATTCCAAATACAAAGTTCGGGCTACTAGGCATCCATATGCGGGTGAACGACTACGCTATTGAAAATTTGATGGCTTTTGGCTCAGCTGTTTTTTCAGAATGCGAGATGCGTTCGTATATTCATACAGTTTCTTCATTATTTAATATCTTTAAATACAATACAGGGTGATAATATTGGTGGCAACAATTTGAAAAGTGATTCAGCGCAAAATGCCGTTTCGGGAGTAATAGCCCTTCAGGGCTAATAAAAAGCATTTAAAAAGATCTTTATTTATTTGTTTACAAAGTCCTTATTTCTGCTGGGAAGAGGTTACAATTAAGCATGGTTATTATTTAAAACTCCAACTGCGCTAAAAGAATAAGTATGAGTTAATAACATCTTGACCTATTATCCTTTTTTCAGCTCATTTAAGTTACGATTGATGCATTGTGACAATGCTTCTTTGTAAATGTACTAAAAGGGTAGAATGTAAATGAAAGAAGATATTAAATCTCACGCACATGCACCTATCAGTTTTTGTCGCAATTTCTCATCGGTCTGGAGTTAATGACCTGATTTAAAAACTAGAAATTAAAATCAACTGCCAATGCATGTGACTTTAATACAAATTACTTTTGAAAATAAATTATTTTTCTCTCTTTCCTTGTATGAAATAAAGGAAATATAGTAACCGCGAAAAATTTTGGTTATCAGATTTCAACAGAAATATCCATTTTCCAAATATCCATCCAAATGTCCACGTGAATAATTATAAAGGCGAATGACTATAAATGTCAATAAATATGCACTATATTCCCGCCAAATCTCAAAAGCGGGGAAAAATATATGATTTGAGAGAAGAATAACAGAACGAAAATAACACCATCTGTTTGTGCAAACAAAAATTATTTCCTTGCCAACCCATTACAATGAATAGCTTTTATAGATGTAGTTTGCTGCACATCTGAAGCAATTCTAAACGTGTGACTTCTAAAAGTTACTCGTTTTACATAATTTTATGAATGACAGTAATTTTTTGTTTTAATGATGTAGTAATGAAGTTCATTAGGGATTAAAATTTGTTATTTTTAAATGGACAAGTTTAATTTTATGGAAATATTCACTTTGAAAGGTTCGAATTTTTGAAAATATAGTCAAATTAATCAAATAAACTTTTGATTTGATCAAAATCATATCCGTTTTCGGACAGAATTCTCACGAGGTAAGAAATGTTACTTGCTCAATAATGCTATAATAAAGCGCATGCAAAACTGCTGAGTTCAGAAACACGTACTATTCCTTAAAACGTTATATTAAGGAAATTTAGCGATTGTCAGTCATGATAAAATAAAATTTGCCATTTTTAGAACAATTAATAAAATAATTTTTGAATTTTTGGCTTCTACAGAGTTTTATAAACTACTTCAATAGATTATTAAATGCCTTTTTAAAAAAAAGAAATTGTTTACTATATTAACTACCGGTGCTGCAATATACTTCTTAACTTAAACAAAACATTCATAGCTTGCCCATTTAAAATAACTCGACTAATTATTTTACAATACACCATTTTAGAATTGTACAATAAAGGTTTTACATTAATTGCTTCATTTGTATTAACTCTTAGAAAAGCGAAGCCTTCACTAATTTATATGCTTAAAATATCGAAATGTCTATCTTCGTCCATTACCTATCCCGTTCATTTCCTCCCCTCTCCGTCCGTTAACGCACAAAAAGGTGTGAAAATTCCAAATGACATCCCTTCTACTTCCTAACAAAGAAGCTTTCGTTAGCCTTTTAGGACAAGCTGCCTGTAATAAACTGATGCAATGTAATAAGGGAAACTGAACCTGCTACTGTATAGCTTAGAGGAAAGGGAAAAAAACATCTTAATCTCGGCCGTTTTGGGCGGTTGCGGTCGTTTGAATAAAAGGCTATTTCGGGCGTTTTGACTTTCAAAGAGCCTATTTTGACCTATTTAAAAATACAGTGATACCTAATAGTAGTTGCGTTCAAATGATTGAGAAGTAACAGTTTAAGAATGTACACATTTCTGGAACATAACTTTAACAAAAATTAATGTACCAGATAATAAAAATCGATTGCTGTTCTTATAAGCGAACACAGATAGCAAAATGGCAAATTTTATTTAATTTGCTTAAAACTCATTTCAGCAGCTTTGCTTGTGCTTTCTAAGAATAATAAATAATTATTTTCACACTTCTTTGAATTTGACCGAAATATGCCAAACATTATTACAGATTTAATATAATTTTTATATTACAGAGGTAGAAATAGAAAGCTACTAACGTTAGTTTGGAAGAATTACCAAGGATTTGTTGAAATAGTTAATTATATTCTTTGTTATAACTTATACTGCTATACTAGCTTTCTATAGGTGCTGATTTCATGGGTATAAAGGTTTGATAATGAAAATATATAATCGGAAAACATTTAATAGATGGTGATCTAATAGACTATTTTGTCTTTGAACTACTCACTTTAAATATGAATTTTTCAGGTTCTAAATTCTCTTGGAATGGCAGTTCCAACATTTTGGTCTCCTTGGTTGGATAACAGTATCGTATGGTTGCGTTTAGTTCAGGGTCTCTTGGTACCTTGTGTTTTATTGCTGGCAGATATGCCCCACAGGAGTGCACTACGTAACATGCTGCGACAGCCAGGACGCATTTACAGACATCTATCAGGTTAGTATCTGTATTTTAATTCTTTAAAGTATTTTAGAATTATGCCTTATTGCCTTCATATGCTTTCTTACTTAGTTAAACATTTTTAAAAGTTATCTCGAAAAGATTTCTTGCCCATTGTTAACTTATATTATGTTCGCTTGAGTAATGCAAGTCTGCTTTCCAACATTGTATTTTATATCTGTATTTTGTTTCTTTAAAGTAATTGAGAATTGTGCCTTATTGGATTAATATACTTTCTTGCTTCGTTAAACATTTTAAAAGTTATCTTCAGGAGATTTCTTAACCGTCGTCATCCTGTGAAATCAGTAGGTTGTTTTGAAGGAGAGATATGAAAAATGTGCAGCGCCCTTATAAAGAAAGTATTTCTCCCGCCTTCTTGGCATGCCTTCGTGGTGTGGTGATCTGCACGCTGGGCGCGTATTCCAGACGGTCCGTGGCTCGATTCCCGGTGAAGGCGTTGAATATTTTTCATCTTTCCAGCTTCCAAAAATACCTAATGTCTCTACACCCTCACCGGGACTCGATCCATGGACCTCTCAAATACGCGTTGAGTATACTTTTAGTTACGTCACAAAGGCTTACGGAAGGGAGGGAGAAAATACCCTATATGCTCTCCCTTTTTTAAAGGCCTATTGGAGATGAGGAAAACCATTCGCCAAATTCTGGTGTTGATGAATTATCGACCGCAACCTTTTAGTTTGGGAAGCATTTGTAGAGTTTTTATTTATTATTTATTTATTTATTTATTTATTTTTAATGAAACAGGATACTTTTGAAAAATGTGCATTGCTCTCGCAGGACTCGAGTTCGGGTCGAGTATGCTTCCAAGTATACCACAGAGGCATGCTAGAAGGTGGGAGAAAATACCGGATAAGTTATTTATCTTCTGCTACGCACGGAATCACTTAAAAATGTCCGGAAAATCAAGAAGCAGACGTAGTGTGCTTTTTAAATTTCTCGACAACCCTTACTTTACGTTACCTTGACTGCTCAGCATCTGAACATAAGAACACCACGGCCTTGAAATTAAAGTCTAGACATTCTAAGTAAAAGTAGAGCACATTTATCTCCTCAAATTCGACGTGAATTCATAAAAAAAGGAGTAATCTTCATTAAGTTTTGTATTTTCTTTTCCATCTTCGTAACCTCATTTAATTTTAATTTGGAAAAAAGATGAGAACAATAACGAAACGGGGGTTTTGGCATCTCGCATTAATTTTGGGTTTTGCTTTCGTGTAATTAATACTCAAGTATCGTGGAGAGAATACGAAAGTGTCGAGCTTTGCGAAAGTATCGTGGAGCTTGAAAATGCCTCGTTTATTACATGCATGAAGCAATAAATTCCTGTTTTCTCTAATTTTTAAGAGAATATTAATTAAAATATTTCACGATGTTTAAGCTTAAAATGATTATATTAATGACATTTGTTTAAAGAATAAAAAGTCAGTTATTAACTTTTGGTTTCATAGTCTGATTAATGTAATAAGGTATTTCTCCCGCCTTCTGGCCATGCCTTCGTGGTGGGGTGGTCTGCAAGCTTGGCGCGTATTCCAAAGGTCCGCGGTTCGATTCCCGGCGAAGGCGTTGCTAATTTTTCAATTCCTCTTGCTTCCAAAAATATACCTAATGTCTCTACAGTGGCGCCCGAACTAAAAGGGTTTTAGATGATGATTCTCCTCACCCAGGATTTGGTGATTGGGTCCCCTTAAAAACAAATCCCAGTCGCCCTTTAAAAGGGGGAGTATATAAGGTCTTTCTTCCGCCTTCTTAGTGTGCCTTCGTGGTGTGGTGGTCTGCATGCTAGACGCGTATTCAAAGGTCCGTGGTTCGATTCCCGGCCAAGGCGTTGCTCATTTTTCATCTCTCTGGCTTTTCCAAAAATAACTGATCTCTCTACAATGTAATGATTCCAAAATTTGAAATTTAAAAAAAAAAAAAAAAAAAAAAAAAAAAAAAAAACACCACACCATTTTTCAGAATTTGGCATTATTTCCAGCTATTTTCTGAGAGATCTCAAGAGAAAATACTTTTTAAAATAAAAGTGTGAAAAAGATAGTTTCCAAAAGCATAAATTTTAAGAATTTTATAAAACAATGAAGGATTTTGTGACACCAACCAAACTGTATTTTTATATAAAGAAATATATTTTTATATAAATAAAAGTATAATTTGTTGTATAGTTGTTTGTATATTTTAGGAAATATATTTAACCATTTTTGTTTATGCGCTCTAATTTTAAACAAAAACGAGAAGAAATTTTATTGTGCTAGAATGCAAAGAACGTACACTGTGGAAAGCATCCAGATTCAGAGTTTAAAGTAGAAAAATATAGTTACACAATTCAAATTGTTATTAATACGAAAAATCATACTCATAGGAATGTTAAAGGATGTTAAAGGACGCCACTGATATGAATACGATGACTTGCTGCAATATACTACCTGAAAATTCTTTACTCTTGATCTATATTTCAATTTAAATTTTACCTTAGTACGATTTTTGCTTCGTCATGTCTAAATCTGTCTCGTTAGACAAAATAGACTTTATGAAATATAGTCGTTTACTTTCTATTAAGTCCCCGAAAGGTCTCTAAACCCAATCAAGAATCTTTTAATACAATGTAATTATGACATTTAACTAGTCTTGCAAAAAGTCTGTAATTGCAGCTTAGGGTTGGATACAGAAAATCAGTTTGCCTTCAAGCTGAATCTGATACATTTGTGTTTGTGGAAAATACTCATCGAACAGTTTGATTAAAAAAGAAGACAAAAAAAAAAAAAAAAAAAAAAAAAAAAAAAAAAAAAAAAAAAGGAACTCAAAGGTTCCAGATTTTAACGTCGCTAATAAGGGTTTGTTAAGGTTGTTTACGCTCTCGTTGAAATCCCAGTTTGCCAGTCTGCTGACTCATTAATTTTTTTTTTGTCTTTTTAGGTTTATTATTGAACATCATTTCTTCGCAATTTCGTTTTGACGAAATGCCGAAAACACTTTTGCAGGCTAGTTTAGTATTGATCACACTGTATTAGATGCTTCAAGAAAACATCTTTAGATGTAAGAAATTAGGAATTTGATAATTGAGAAAACTTTATCTGTAAAAAAAAATGCTCCTTCAGATACAAAATCACAGCTTTATTCATGATCTAAGATTTTGCAACTGAAGAGACAAGCGTAAATTAATTGGCAAAATTTTTAACGGATAATTTATTGATTAAATAATTTAAACAGATTTTATTTCTTTTCATTAAATACCTCCAAGGAAATTTCTTCAAAGAGTTTGCTGATTTCATTTCGCGGATTTCATGGCCAGGCAAAAGAGGGTGAAAAGATTTGCTGCAAGCCCTTGTGCGTAGTGATTCAAGAAAGTAAATACAGAGTTACAGTATATCATCCTAATAATTTCACTTACAGTAGTATTTCATCGTAAATTATACCTATAACTTACAACGAAATAGCATTGCAGTTCTTTTTTACCTATAATTTGGCATTGCTATTTTAGACACCTTAATTTAAACATAACAATTTACGTTCCTAATGTTAATTTGCAACAGATTAATTCTTAAATTATAAGTCTGTCTTAACGATTTGGCTTAAACTGAAATCCGTGTACTAAGATTATATCGCAATTGTTTTTTAACCTTATAAATTTTATAATATTTAATTTTGTAAATACTTTTTAACTTTTTGAAATATTAATGGCAACCTCGTCTAACTGTTTGACTGATTTTTTATAGCTCTATTCTGCTATTTTTTCTCCCAATTTATAAATAGTAAATTGTTCTAAAAAGCATTTCAATGCATGTACGTAGCTGTCATCACTTAATTCGGTCTTTTTCCACATGCTTTCCACTCGATTAATTCCTCGACGATATATACATCTTTTAGTTAAGATTTTAAAAAATCTGATACGGACGCCACATGACTTCCTTGTACGGCCTATTAAATTGCATCTTTTGCTGCATTTCATTTAAACATATTCCCACGAATTTTATTCTAGATACATTTCTCATTCGGTTAATTCGCTTTTCACTTCGCGGCAAGGAAAAAATATATGAAACGTTAAAATAGCTTCAGTAAAAATTGAAAAACATAAAACACAAAAAACATTAAAACAATGAAAACAATTTAAAAATTTAAATCAGAGTTTCTACGCAAAAACAAGCAATTCTGCCAGTGGGCAGAAAGGCAGATTTTTCGGTGCACAGAACTGAAAATTTACTTTTAGTCCCACTCGGTAAAAAGACATTGAAGGTGCAGAAACTGAATTCACTATCTACTAAGTTTGAAATGTAAACAAATATGGCTGCTAAGTTAGACTTAGCCGCACTTAAACAACGTTTAAATTATTAATAATTCTACAGATATTGCATGCAGATTAATTAAAGACATAGAAACCTTAACCGGATCATAAGAACAACGTAATTCAATCATTTTTAAAGCAAAAAATGTACAATTTACTAACATATAAGAATAAAAAAACTGAGCTCACCTAGCCGAGTAACAAAAGAGTATATATATATATATGTAAAATATAAAAAATACAATGGCTTTGCTCTATGCGAACAAGCAACCTCTAATTAACTTTCCGCAATTTCAGGATCTTCCCCCTAGACCAGTTCTTTCGAGAACATTCGAGTATATTACGTAACCGCTGCTATAAATGAGGAATTCGCGCCATCTTGCGTCAGGAGACTGTTTTCTCCTCCTGCTGCTATTAGACCTTTGCTGCGGCTCTTCCCATCTGTCTCCCTTTGTTCGAATAGTATGAGGCTGTAAATTTAAAGTTAATCCTATTTAGTTCAAATTACTATCGCATATGTAATCTCTGAGTGATTTGCCATTTACATTGAATAAAGAGATGAAGTAAAAAGTTAAATTCTTCCCTGTCTTCAATTCTGATGTTTTCCACTTTTGCCACGACCACACTCAGACTCTGAAGTGACCGGATTGTTAAGCTACATCATTTCCAGTGCCTGGCTGGCAGAATATTACATATATAT